GGGCAACCAAACCGAGCAAGACCCTGTCTCTATTAATACAAACAAACAGACAATCTCTCAGGAAGACGCCAAGACTTACGGCCGATTTTTTTTTTTTTTTTTTTTTCGAGATGGAGTCTGGCTCTGTTGCCCAGGCTGGAGTGCAGTGGCACGATCTCGGCTCACTGCAGCCTCCACTTCCTGGGTTCACACCATTCTCCTGCCTCAGCCTCCCGCGTAGCTGGGACTACAGGTGCTTGCCATCACACCTGGCTAATTTTTTGTATTATTAGTAGACACGGAGTTTCACCGTGTTAGCCAGGAAGGTGTTGATCTCCTGACCTGGTGATCCGCCTGCCTCAGCCTCCCAAAGTGCTGGGATTATAGGCTTCAGCCACCACTCCCTGCCCATGGCTGATTTTATAAATGGGGGGAGAGTGTCACCTGGCAAGGATCCCAGGGCTACAGAGGTACCTGAATTTGAACCCAGGTCTCTCTGTCTTCTTCTGTCTCTGACTCCTCCCCATTCCCTCTCACCTTTCCCCACAGTCTGGACTTTGCCATAAACAAGCTTAAGAATGGGGGCTCACGTCCTGGCTCCTATGTTCTCCGCCGCAGCCCCCAGGACTTTGACAGCTTCCTCCTCACTGTCTGTGTACAGGTCGGTCTATGGCTAGGGTGGGTAGTGGAGGGCTTTCTGGAGGAGGTGACGTTTGAGTTGAGATTTAAAAGATCAGTCAGCATTTGGTTCCTGAAGAATAGGAGGGAAAAGATACCCTCAGTGAACAGAACAGCATATTCAAAGGTCTAGAGACTGGAATGAGTTTGTGGTGCTTTAGGAGGAAGGACTGAGACTGGGCACGGTGGCTCACGCCTGTAATCCCAGCATTTTGGGAGGCCAAGGCAGGCAAATCACCTGAGGTCAGGTGTTCGAGACCAGCCTGGCCAACATGGTCTCTACTAAAAATACAAAAATTAGCTGTGTGTGTTGGCACAAGCCTGTAATCCCAGCTACTCAGGAGGCTGAGGCAGGAGAGTCGCTTGAATCTGGGAGATGGAGGTTGCAGTGAACAGAGATCATGCCATTGCACTCTGGGGCAACAGAGCGAGACTCTGTCTCAAAAGAAAAAAAAAAAAAAAAGGCCAGGCATAGTGACTCACATCTGTAATTTCAGCACTTTGGGAGGCCAAGGTGGGCAGATCACAAGGTCAAGAGATTGAAACCATCCTGGCCAGAATGGTGAAACCCTGTCTCTACTAAAAATACAAAAATTAGCCGCGCACCTGTAGTCCCAGCTACTTGGGAGGCTGAGGCAGGAGAATCGCTTGAACCCAGGAGGCAGAGGTTGCAGTGAGCCGAGATCGCACCATTGCACTCCAGCCTGGGCGACAGAGCCAGACTCCGTCTCCAAGAATAAAAAGGAAGAAGGACTCAGAGGGAGAGTGTTGCTCACTCCCACTCAGGGTTCACTCCTCTTTTGCAGACCCCCCTTGGTCCTGATTATAAAGGTTGCCTCATTCGGCGCAGCCCCACAGGGAGCTTCTTTCTGGTTGGCCTCAGCCGATCCCACAGCAGTCTTCGAGAGCTCCTGGCAGCCTGCTGGGATGGGGGGCTGCACGTAGATGGGGTCACAGTGACCCTCACCTCCTGCTGTATCCCCAGACCCAAAGGTGAGCCCCCTCCTCCCCTGAAATGAGTGGCTGATCTGGGACCCTGGCTTTCTATGTCTGTGACAACTCCTGTGTGGGTGGCAAGTGGCAGAAACTGCAGATCAAGGTGGGTTAGGGAAGAAAAGGTGATTTATTGGCTCAGGAAGTTAGAGATATATAACCTTTAGGTCTGGCTTGATCTAGGCACAGCTAGATGTGAGCCATGGCACCTGCACCTAGTCTCTCTCCATCTCTCAGCTCCGGGTGCATTTCACTCTTCAACAAACCCCTCTGATGGGACAACTCGGAGATGTGAGTTCTTCAGAGTCTCCCAGAATCCCTAATAGAACCGAGCCCTGGTTGTCCACAGTGCCACTTGCTCATTAAAGCGCCCTGCAGGGCTCCTTCCTTCCTTGTCTCTCATCCCAAATCCCTGTGAGGACTTTCTGGATCTCCTTTCAAGTAAACCATATGCCAGCCAGGCGCGATGGCTCACGTCTGTAATCCCAGCACTTTGCGGGGCTGAGGCAGACGGATCATTGAGGTCAGGAGTTTGAGACCAGCATGGCCAACATGGTGAAACTCCATCTCTACTAAAAATACAAAAATTAGCCGGGTGTGGTGGCACACACGTGTAGTCCCAGCTACTCTGGAGGCTGAGGCAGGAGAATCACTTGACCCTGGGAGGCAGAGGTTGCAGTGAGCTGAGATCGCACCACTGCACTCCAGCCTGGGTGACAGAGCGAGACTCTGTCTCAATAAAGAAAAAAAATTAGCCAGGCATGGTGGCACACACCTGTAGTCCCAGCTACTCGGGAGGCTGAGGCAGGAGAATCGCTTGAACCCGGGAGACGGAGGTTGCAGTGAGCTGAGATCTCGCCACTGCCCCCCTAGCCTGGGTGACAGAGTGAGACTCCGTCTCAACAACAGCAGCAACAACAAAACAAAAACAACAACAACAGAAAACCATGTGCCCTGGAGTCTTCATCAAGGGCAGCTTCTAGAGTTACCCCAAACTAAGGCATGAGTTAGCTAACCCTTGGGGACTTTTCACCGCTGATTTCTGGTTTTTGTCCCTCATCCTCTCCCCATAGAAAAGTCCAACTTGATCGTGGTCCAGAGAGGTCGCAGCCCACCCACGTCCTCCCTGGTTCAGCCCCAATCCCAATGCCAGCTGAGTCAGATGATATTTCACAAGATCCCCGCTGACAGCCTAGAGTGGGTAAGGGGCCCTGGGAAATGGGGCGATACCTCAGTCTATGGACCAGAGACTCAGATGTGTGGCCGCAGGCACATGCTATAACTTTGCCTTGCTTCGGTTTTCCCATCTGTAAAATGGGGCTAGCAGCTATGTATCACTTGGGCTGGGATCCTGCAGGAACCCCCTCACTGGCCCCTTCTGCTGTCCCCTCACCATTCAGCATGAGAACCTGGGCCATGGGTCCTTCACCAAGATTTACCGGGGCTGTCGTCACGAGGCGGTGGATGGGGAGTCCCGAAAGACAGAGGTGCTGCTAAAAGTGATGGATGCTAAGCACAAGAACTGCATGGAGGTGAGAGTGGTGGGGACCAGACTTTTGGGGTCAGGGCTGGCTGGAGAGGGGGTCATGGATATAGAGAAATTTAAAAACACACAGGGGCCTGGGCGTGGTGGCTCATGCCTGTAATCCCAGCACTTTGGGAGGCTGAGGCAGGAGGATGGTTTGAAGCCAGGAGTTCAAGAACAGCCTAGGCAACCTAGCGACATCTCATCTTTACAAATTTTAGGCCGGGCACAGTGGCTTACGCCTATAATCCCAGCACTTTGGGAGGGTGAGGCGGGCAGACCATCTGAGGTCGCGAGTTGGAGACCAGCCTGACCAACATGGAGAAACCCCATCTCTACTAAAAATACAAAATCAGCCAAGCATGGTGGTGCATGCCTGTAATCCCAGCTACTCGGGAGGCTGAGGCAGGAGAATCGCTTGAGCCTGGGAAGTGGAGGTTGCACTGAGCCAAGATCGCGCCACTGCACTCCAGTCTGGGTGACAGAGGGAGACTCCATCTCAAAAAAAAAAAAAAAGAGAAAAGGTAGATGATAGTGGGAACTTCCGTCCTGTATCAGAAAATCATGGTAGTGCTGTGTGCACCCATGACAGACTCCAGGGCCAAAGGTGAACTGTGGCCAGATGTTCACCTAAGGCAGGTTTGTGAGCCCAAAATTTGGGATTGTTGGAGTGGAAGGAACCCACGAATCTTCTCTCCCTTCCCACTTTCCGCAGTCATTCCTGGAAGCAGCGAGCTTGATGAGCCAAGTGTCGTACCGGCATCTCGTGCTGCTCCACGGCGTGTGCATGGCTGGAGACAGTGAGAGCCCCTCACCCTCCCACCCCACCCCTGCCTCACCCAAGTCCAGGCTGTTCTTCCCGCCTCTGTTCTGCGCCTCTATATGACAGCACCGGCAACACACTGGGCCTCCGTGGATGGGGGCCGTGTTCGTAACCCTTTATTTATGTCTCTTCATCATCACTGCTTGGAAAGTGGCTCCAGGTTCCCACCCATACTCAGCCCCAGTATGATCTGAAGTCGGACAAACCTGGCTTTCTAATCTCTGCAGCTTTGCATGGGTCACATAACCTTTCTGAGCCTTGGTTTCATTGTTTGGGAGTCCAGGATGGGCCAAGAGCTGGGGACAGAGGCTAGAATGTGACAGGCAGGGCGTGATGAGGGGCGAGGAGGGCAGCATGGGGCACTGTGGATGATCAGAGAGCCTGCGGGGCCAGCCTGGGGGTCAGGCAATACTTTTGGGTAGACAGAGATGCATTCTAAGCTGGAAAGATAAGGACAAGTGTGAATTAGGAAAGGAAGAGGAGTGTCCTAGGCAGAGGACACAGAACATGCAAAGGGTTAGAAGTAAGATACAAAGGCTGGGCATGGTGGCTCACGCCTGTAATTGAAAAGCCAAGGCGGGTGGATCACCTGAGATCAGGAGTTCAAGACCAGCCTGGTCAACATGGCAAGACCCTGTCTCTACTAAAAATACAAAATCAGCTGGGTGTGGTGGCATGTGCCTGTAGTTCCAGCTACTTGGGAGGCTGAGGCAGGAGAATAGGTTGAATCCGGGAGGCGGAGGTTGTAGTAAGCCGAGATCACGCCACTGCACTCCAGCCTGGGCAACAGAGTGAGACTCTGTGAAAGAAAGAGAAAGAAAGAAAAGAAAGAGAAAGAAAAGAAAAGAAAGAGAGAGAGAGAGACAGAGAGAGAGAAAGAAAGAGAAAGAAAAGAAAGAAAGAAAGAAAGAGAAAGGAAGGAAGGAAGGAAGGAAGGAAGGAAGGAAGGAAGGAAGGAAGGAAGGAAGGAAGGAAAGAAAAGTGAGATACAGATACAGAAAGGGCTCAGCACCTTCCAGGCATTCCAGGCAAATCATTCAGAGATGGAGGTGGGAGGAGAGGTGAGTACAGGATGAACAGAGGTAGCAGGGGAGGGAACAGAGATGAGAGTTTGAGAGACCCTGAGAGCCAGGGTGTTGGCAGAACCTGCTCAACACACCCAATCCTGCCTCTCCCTGCTGCCAACCAGGCACCATGGTGCAAGAATTTGTACACCTGGGGGCGATAGACACGTATCTGCGAAAACGTGGCCACCTGGTACCAGCCAGCTGGAAGCTGCAGGTGGTCAAACAGCTGGCCTACGCCCTCAACTATCTGGTGAGTGCTCCTCTGCCTGCTCCACCCTCCATTCCCAGGGAAGGCTTTCTCGGGGTGGAAGAGGAATTGGGAGTGGGCTCTGTAGTATGCATAGGAGTTTGGTAAATGTTCAAGGGGAGGGCATTTTAGGTTGAGGTTGTGAGAACACTAGAAGACAACAAGTCATTCATGGATGTCAGGGGCTATAGTGAATGATAAGGCTGGGTGGGCATGGAGAAAGGCTTCCTAGAAGAAGGAACATTGGAGATGGGGCCTTGAAGGTTGAGTAGAAGTTCATCAAGAGAAGAAAGGAAGGCAGGCACGTCAGGCTGTGGGAACAGCCTAGGCAAAGGCCTGCAGGCTAGATAGTGTGTTGCATCCCCTGGGGTCTATCAGGCAGTTCTGTTGGCAGGAGACCAGGGTGCAAGTGTGGAAGGGAAGTCCATTGGAAGCTTGAGCAAGGGCCTTGAATGCCAGGTTGAGGAGCTTCACTTTGTGTCAAAGGCACTGGGGAGTCACAGGATGGGGTGGTGTTTGAGAAGGGGAGGGACATAGCCAGGTCAGTGTAGGGGGTGAACTAGAGGGGCAAGACAGGATGTCAAGAGTCAGGGATGATGCTGGAGCATGTTCCTGCTCCAGATGGGAAAAGCCCATCTGAGCAGTACCAAATGGGCTTTGAAGGATGTATAGGAGTTTGCCAAACAGACTCTTCATTCATTAAACCCTCCCTGGCATTTCCCTATGCCTGGCCCCCTTAGGAGGACAAAGGCCTCCCCCATGGCAATGTCTCTGCCCGGAAGGTGCTCCTGGCTCGGGAGGGCACTGATGGGAGCCCGCCCTTCATCAAGCTAAGTGACCCTGGGGTCAGCCCCGCTGTGTTAAGCCTGGAGAGTAAGTTCCTGGAGGTGGAGGAGGGAGGGGCTGAACAGGGTAAGGAAGTGGATGCCTGATCCCACTTCCATTCCCTCAGTGCTCACCGACAGGATCCCCTGGGTGGCTCCCGAGTGTCTTTGGAAGGCCCAGACACTTAGCTTGGAAGCTGACAAGTGGGGCTTCGGCGCCACGGTCTGGGAGGTGTTTAGTGGCGTCACCATGCCCATCAGCGCCCTGGATCCTGCTAAGGTCAGAGTCTCTCACCTGGCATCGGTCTCCGAGTCCCCACTTCGACAGAAGCGTAGACTGATATCCAGTTTGGGGAGATTGGGGTGCGTCTGGTGGGTTGGGAATTACCAACTCCTCCTGTCACCCTCAGAAACTCCAATTTTATGAGGACCGGCAGCAGCTGCCAGCCCCCAAGTGGACAGAGCTGGCCCTGCTAATTCAGCAGTGCATGGCCTATGAGCCAGTCCAGAGGCCCTCCTTCCGAGCCGTCATTCGTGACCTCAACAGCCTCATCTCTTCAGGTGCCTGCTGGGCCGGGTTGGGTGGGAAGGTGATGTCATATTAGGTCCAGGGGAAGGAGTGTGGTTTGCAGCAGGCCACACCTTGTGTGTCTGGCAAGGTTGGAGGGGCTGGTGACTGTGACAGTCAGTGTGAGCTTCAATGGCCGCTGTAACAAACAGTCCCCTCAGTTCAAGTTTCAACATGATGATATTTTATTTATGTATGTGTTTATTTATTTTTGAGACAGAGTCTTGCTCTGTTGCCCAGGCTGGAGTGCAGTGGCACAATCTCGGCTCACTGCAACCTCTGCCTCCTTGAACCTCTGGTTCAAGGGATTCTCTTGCCTCAGACTCCCAAGTAGCTGGGATTACAGGTGCATGCCACCATGCCCAGCTAATTTTTGTATTTTTGGCAGATGTGGGGTTTCACCATATTGGTCAGGCTGGTCTCGAACTCCTGACCTCAAGTGATCCTCCCGCCTCGGCCTCCCAAAGTGCTGGGATTACAGGCATGAACCACCATACCTGGCCCATTTCATTCTTTTAAAAAAATGTTTGGCTGGGTGCAGTGGCTCATGCCTGTAGTTCCAGCTATAGGTAGGTGTATCACTTGAGCCCAGGAGTTCCAGACCAGCCTGGGCAACATGGCAAAACTCCATCTCTCAAAAAAAAAAAAAAAAAAATCATTTAGCCAGGCATGGTGATGCATGCCTGTACGCATTTTTATTTTATTTTATTTTATTTTATTTTATTTTATATTTTTGAGACACCATCTTCCTCTGTCACCTAGGCTGGAGTGCAGTGGTACGATCTTGGCTCACTGCAACCTCCCTGGTTCAAGCAATTCTCCTGCCTCAGACTCCCAAGTAGCTAGGATTATAGGGGTGTGCCACCAAACATGGCTACATTTTTGTATTTTTTAGTAAAGACAGGGTTTTGACATGTTGGCCGAGCTAGTCTCAAACTCCCGGTCTCAAAAAGATCCATCCACCTCAGCCTCCAGTATTGGGATTACAGGCGTGAGCCACTACACCTGGCTGGATTTTTTTTTTTTTTTTGATGGGGTCTTGCTATGTTCCCCAGGCTGGTCTTGAATTACTGGCTCAAACAATCCTCCTGCCTTAGTCTCCCAAGTAGCTGGGATTACAGGCACACACAACCATGCCCAGTGTGATATTTAATCTTCATTCGATGAGGGTGTCCAGGCCCACAGGAACCTCTCACCTTGTGGCTGCACTCACCTCTGGTGTTGGGTCTCTGTTGGATCCTTTGCGGATAAAAGAGAGAGTGTGGAGGGCCCCATACTAGGTTTCCATGGGCCACGACTGGAGGGGCACCCAGCATATCTTGTCCATCAGCCTGAGCTCAGTCATGTGGCCACATTTCATAGCAGTGGAACTGGGGAAATGAGTTCTCATTATATCCTCCATCTTTGTAGCCATGTGGAGTTGCACAGGGTGTGCACTGCACAAGGAGGCTTCCTTTGCCTGGGATGGAGTGGGAGACAACTTTTTCCAGTCTCCACAAGGTACCCTTTGGCTTGCAATGGCCCTGCCATAATGCACAGAGAGGGTCAATATGCAGATGGAGGTTGCACCGCAAGTCAACTCAGGAGTGGGGCCCAGGATGAGAGGCGCTGCTTACCACTGCCCATGCCCCCATCCCAGACTATGAGCTCCTCTCAGACCCCACACCTGGTGCCCTGGCACCTCGTGATGGGCTGTGGAATGGTGCCCAGCTCTATGCCTGCCAAGACCCCACGATCTTCGAGGAGAGACACCTCAAGTACATCTCACAGCTGGGCAAGGTAAGGTGGGCAGGGCCAGGATGGGTTGGAGAGGGCAGAGCAGCATCCAGATGCCTGGACACCAGTCCTGCTATCCCCCAGGGCAACTTTGGCAGCGTGGAGCTGTGCCGCTATGACCCGCTAGGCGACAACACAGGTGCCCTGGTGGCCGTGAAACAGCTGCAGCACAGCGGGCCAGACCAGCAGAGGGACTTCCAGCGGGAGATTCAGATCCTCAAAGCACTGCACAGTGATTTCATTGTCAAGTATCGTGGTGTCAGCTACGGCCCGGGTGAGCCAGGTCCCGGATGAGTGAACTGAGACGTATGGGTGCTTTTCAAAGTGCAGATTCTTACCTTCCTGCCAGGCCACTTTAGGTAGGCTGGGAACGTGATTATTGATTGATCCAGATTCACATGGGTTACAGGTTTGAATCCTGACTCTACCCCTCACCAGTTGTGCAACCTTAACTTCTCTGAGCCTCAGTTTCTCCAGCTGAAAAATGGGTCATTGTGATATTTACTTTGTTGTTGTTGTTTATTTGGTTTTTTTTGAGACGGAGTCTCGCTCTGTCACCCAGGCTGGAATGCAGTGGCTCAATCTGGGCTTACTGCAACCTCTGCTTCCCAGGTTCAAGTGATTCTCCTGCCTCAGCCTCCCGAGTAGCTGGGATTACAGGAGCGTGCCACCGCACCCAGCTAATTTTTATGTTTTTAGTAGAGATGGGTTTTCACCATGTTGGCCAGGCTGGTCTTGATGTCCTGACCTCAAGTGAGGGATTACAGGCGTGAGCCATTACGCCTGGCCGTGATATATAAACACATCAATGTATGTTGTAGAAAGTACTCAAGAGATATTAGCCATGTGTAATTGTCGCGGTTCCCATATTACAGTCAGCAAAACTGAGGGCGAGAGGGACACAAAACTGAGGGAGAGAGGGACACAAGAATGAGGGGAGGAGCACAGCTGGGCCCTGCTGTGACAGCCCCTGCCTTCTCCAGGCCGCCAGAGCCTGCGGCTGGTCATGGAGTACCTGCCCAGCGGCTGCTTGCGCGACTTCCTGCAGCGGCACCGCGCGCGCCTCGATGCCAGCCGCCTCCTGCTCTACTCCTCGCAGATCTGCAAGGTTCGAGGGGGCGCTCCGGGACTTGTGGAGATTCAGCTGGCTCGGCCTGGGCAGGGGTCTGCGTGGCGGTCGCGGTGAAGGCTGAGGAGTGAAGTTTGGGGTCCAGGTCTCGGGGGTGGTGGGGTTGGCTTAGGGCTCAGGATCAGAACTTCAGTGAAGGATGACTCGAGGGTAGGGTTAGAGTTGGGGTCTGGGTTAGGGTTAGAATCCAGGTCAGGCTTGGGGTGCCTGCCGGATTATCCTGGGATCCTCTCTGCACGCTCACACCGCCCGCCCACAGGGCATGGAGTACCTGGGTTCCCGCCGCTGCGTGCACCGCGACCTGGCCGCCCGAAACATCCTGGTGGAGAGCGAGGCACACGTCAAGATCGCTGACTTCGGCCTAGCTAAGCTGCTGCCGCTTGACAAAGACTACTACGTGGTCCGCGAGCCGGGCCAGAGCCCCATTTTCTGGTGGGGAACCCGCGCCCAGGCTCCGCCCCTACTCCCCACGGCTCTGGCTCCTCCCCCAGCCATGGCCCCGCCCCCTGCCGCTGCTTTGTTCTCCAGCCTTAGCCCCGCCCTTCCTCCGCTCCAGCTTTGGCCCCTCCCACTCCCCAGAGCCCCGCCCCATCAACAGCATGAGCTCCTCCGTCTCCTGCTGCCCTGCTGTCAGCTGCCCCCAGCCTTAGCCCCGCCCTTCTCTCAGCTCTCGCCCCGCCCAAGCATCAGAGCCCCACCCCTCCAACACCTTGGCTCCGCCCCTCAGTACTGGCCCCCTCTTAGTTCCGCCCTTCCCCCTTCTGGTCCCTCCCCCTCCCTCGGCTCTGGCTCCGCCCCATCTCCGCCCCTCTACGCTGGCCCCGCCCCCTCCCCATGGCTCTTCCCAGATACCTCCCAGGGCTAGAGAATCCGCCGGTCCCACAGCCAGGGAAACCCAGATCCTGGAGACGGGACTGACCTGGTCACAGTCCCCACCTACCCTGACCAGTTCCCCATTCCAAGGCTGCCCCCCTCTTCCTGTCTTTTCTCCACCCTCGCATCTCAAGACCTCCCTGTCCCCTCCCCAGGTATGCCCCCGAATCCCTCTCGGACAACATCTTCTCTCGCCAGTCAGACGTCTGGAGCTTCGGGGTCGTCCTGTACGAGCTCTTCACCTACTGCGACAAAAGCTGCAGCCCCTCGGCCGTGAGTCGGCTCCCGTGGGCCCCCAGCCTTCTTCTCCCTCCACGCCCCTCGTGGCCAATCTCCAACCTGTTTGCGCCTGCGTCCCTCTTTAGCATGGGGTCACCTGGTCCCAGCATCATAGGCCTCAGTGGGGAGGACCCTACCTTACTTTTCTGACCCCTTCACGGTGCAGGCAGCCCCTCTCCGTTCCATCACAGGTGGCCCCTCCCCACACCACGGGTGGCCCCTCCCCTCCACCCACCGGTGGCCCCTCCTCCACCACCCACGGAGGCCCCTCCCCCACCACATGCGCTCCTCCTTGACTCCAGGAGTTTCTGCGGATGATGGGATGTGAGCGGGATGTCCCCGCCCTCTGCCGCCTCCTGGAGCTGCTGGAGGAGGGTCAGAGGCTGCCGGCGCCTCCTGCCTGCCCTGCTGAGGTGAGCGCCAGCCTCAGTTTCCCAGTCTGTAGATTGGGCAGGGGTCTCGGGCAAGCCAGCTGGCACCTGAGTCTCTGGACTGAGAGAGAGGCTAGAGTGTGAGGCTGATGAGGATCCTGACCCCCCACTTGGCTACTCTCACTGTGAGGCAAGTCAGAGCACTTTCAGAGCCTCAGTTTACCCTTTTCCAAAATGAGAATAGTAACGCCTTATAGCGTGAGGGAAGATCAGACTCCTGAACACCTGTGCCTATGAGGGCTCAGCTCAAAGCCGAGCACACAGTCAATGCTCCATAAATGTTGGTGACGTTCATGGTTTTTTTTTTTTTTTTTTTTTTTT